CAAAGTTTTTCATAGAGACTGGCTTCATCCTTGTACGATTGAGAGCGTTGTAAGCTTCCTCCGGAGATGCTGAGAGGAATCCACTGATGTATGAATTTGAGATACATACGATTAACCGTGTCAAGTAATGAGATGTGAGACAGCAAGGAGGAGGAAGCTGTCCCACAAAACCAGGAAAGAACTGTGAATGGAGAAATCAAATGTGCTCTTTATCTTCTGAAGGGAATCGTTCTTCTAAACCATAGCGTTGTTGCTTTAAAAAATGTTTAGGCTGTACCCTTAGATGTCTGGATTTTCTGCATACACTCAGTCAGTACATTCCATTAGAGATAAATGTGAATTTATTAGGGGAAAACAACATTTTGTACAGAACCTTTTGTGGTTGGCAAATGAACAGATTCAGAAGGCTTTCTTTTAAACCAAGTGTCGCAGTAAGAGATTTGGGTGTCTTCTGATCCAGTAGCTATCTTTTGCGTTGGATTCTCAAATACGTTAATTAATACAACATAATTACAAACTGTATTTTAATCTTGTTAAGCTATTTCTGGGCAAAGAGAAGTGCAAAAATGTGATGTGAGTGATAAGAAACAATATGAAATCAATAAAACTCTCAAGATACAAAGTTGTATCAGTCACAGAAAATCCCTCATTGACGCTACAAAACAGGGGCTAAGTGAGTTTTTTTACAGGTCACAGAAGGAGGCTTAAACCAGTCTGTAATGGTAGATTTAAGAGCATCCTTGTATGACAACATTGTGGAAAGCAAAACTATGAGATTTCCTGGCCAAGGAAATTTCTTTGCAACCTTACAGACTCTTGCACTTCATTTTTTCCTGATTTTTATTTGTATTTGTACATCTTATCTTTATAAGAAAGCAGAGATGACTCGAGATAAAATTAGAAAATAATTCTGTTATTAAAAAGAGGCTTTTTAGTAACCATGTCATAATAAGTAGTGTTTTGCATACTTAGGCATTTCTTTAAGTAGGTAGAATATAAATGAGAATGAAAGTTAAATATCTTGCAATCAAAACATTACAATTATGCTAAAGTGGGGACTTTTTGCTTTTTTTTTTTTTAATTACAGAAAGCACTCCAAAGACTTCTGCCAGTTGCAGTCCTGCTCCTGAATCTCCCATGAGTTCCAGTGAATCAGTGAAAAGCCTGACTGAATTGGTACAGCAACCCTGCCCCGCTATAGAGACAAGTAAGGATGGCAAATCCCAAGAATCTAGCGAGCCGCCTGCTTCTGAATCCCAATCTACAACACCTTTGCCACTGTCGGGCCACTCGGCACTCAGCATTCAAGAACTGGTTGCTATGTCCCCTGAGCTGGATACGTATGGCATTACGAAAAGGGTCAAAGAAGTGCTAACGGACAACAATCTTGGTAAATCGCTTTATGCTCATTTCTTGACTGAAATAAAATAAATTTTCATACTTTTGTTTTTAAGCTATATTTCAGTAGACATTTACAAGAATACTTGGGTTTGATTCTGGCCTAAGCTTTAATCTGTTAAAAAAGATTTTTTTATTTATTTTTTTTTTTAAAACCAGTAGAAAAATCCTTTCAGATTGTCACACTCTACTTAAAATGTCATCATACCCTTGTTCTTTTTAAGCTCTGCTCCTGGCTCACCGGCCAGATACTGCTCCCACCTCCCTACATACAGTCCAGCAGGCTGTCAAGATGACCAGAACCCCAAAGCCAGTGAGATCTCCCCTTGAGAAATGCTGTTTTCCCCATGCTCATAGGTTCAAGGCCCCAGCATTTTAGGCATAGGTGAAGTAGAGGAGTCTGGCATGACTGGAGAGGGAGGTGCATCGCAAGCGAAAGCATAGGATACTTGTAGAGCCAGGAGGGTAAATTCAGACTCAACTGAGGCTGTTGATAAGTGTATGGGGCCATTTGGTTATTTTGCTTAGAGACCTGCAAAGCTAAGGCTGCTTTTGCTTACAGATGAGGTTTTGGGTGTCAAATTAAGTGTAATGTTGACATGGCTATATATTTGGAATAGTCAAAGGGAATAACCTGATCTCAGTATGGGAAATCCACGCTTAATACTGCCACTATGCCTCTAAATCACTAGTTCTTCATATGTGTTTAGCACTTGCTTCCCTCACAAGGCGTTGGGAAATCTTTAGGAGTCCTCTGAAGTGTCTAGTGGGAAGGCAGTGAGGCTGCCCCAGTGTTACCTGCACGTGCTTCTGGGGCTTAGCATGGGATTCATCTCACCTGCATTTAGATGTTCAGAATAGATGTCTGAGATGGTTGGGATGAATCGCTCTCCAGAAAGTCCCAGTTTCTCTCCATTCCCTGCAGATGGGACCAAAAAGATAAGTTTAGATTTAGACTGCTGATGATACATAAGTGAGAAGAATTCCATCCATATCATCTGAACATTGTGACCGTAGAAGTAAAAACTCCTTTACTTTAGTATGTAAGGAATCCTTTTTTCAGATAGACACAGACTAACATGTTATTATCTTAGATTTTTTTTTTTAAGGGGAAAAATACTGGGATGGGGAGGTTGCAAGTTCTCATTTAACATCATTTGGGAAAAAAAGAAAATGGCCCTGATCATGGACATACCGTGCATGAGATTGTGTTCCACTGAACCCAGCAGAATTACTTGCTGCATGGGCAGACTGTGGTTGCTTATTCAGTGGAGATAATGTAGAGATAAAGCCACAAGCCACGGTAAGGATTTGCAGGTTCAAGCCCCTAGTTTTTGGGCAAAATACTGTTGAGTGCTGTACCTGCTCTGGTGTTACAGAGAGGTTTGAAAAAGTATTTTTGTTTACATTTGCTTTGATGCCATTTTTACTTAGTCTTTTTTATTTCCCATGATTTTTGTTTTCCTACAGTGTGGCTGACAAGCCTAAAAAGCAGCAGAAGAGCCAGGAAATGTGCCCCAAACTCTGCATTAGGTGTGGAACCAGTTTCAATGTCTCCTTTTGCGCCCTCAGTGTGCTAGTGCACCAGATTGACTCGGTGCACAGGTTTCTCTGTCTTAGGCCACAGGGCCTTGTGAACCTGTCTTAGGCAACTGGTGGTGACTCAGTTGTCCCAATATCATCGGCCAGTAAAGACCACAGTTGTGCAAAACCACTCAAAGATGTGTTTGGCGGGTCTCTCCTCCCATGCCTTGTAGCATTCATTCAACAGTCATTTTAGCGAACGATGCTGGCGGTGTTAACACTGAGATATTGCTAGGATTCCTAGTCCCAGGTGTCATAATATTATCAGGGATTCCCTGTTGGGCAACATATAACTTCGATACAGAGGGAAGCAAACGCAGTGAGCTATTGAAAGATTGCCATGGTGGGGATTTGGCAGAAAGATCCAGGACTAACCATGAAAGCAGCATAATCTACAGGAAGTTTTGTCCATGAGGAGCTACATCAGTGGGAACAGTCTCAAAGGGTATATGGGAAAAAGACAGGGAGAATTAGCAGGAGTCTTAGGAAACCTGTGGCTCAAAATATTCCAGTTATTAAAAGTGGTCTGCTGAAGATGGAGTGTGATACACCCGCTACCTCCCGAGAATGATTTCTAACACATTCCACATTAGCTTGGGAGTCTTTCAGGTGTTTTATCCAGTCCTGCCATATCCTGGGATAAAATAAATGACACAAACATCTTTAGCTTTGTCCTTAACACCTAGAGAACATGACGTTACCTCCTTCCAAATTTGCATTTTTAATCTTCCGGCTGTTGTTTGAAGTTCATTTCCTTCGACAGCATTGCTAGTACGTGCTCTGGGCTGCTTGTTTCTGACCTTTTTGCTGATTTGTGCCAGTATTCCTGTTCCGTGTGGCCACACAGTAAACCGGACCAGTTGGTCCAAGTCAAAAGTGGCCATTTTATTCTTGGTAGGTTGGTTTGACTCGGATCAGTTCGCCGCTCTGATTTACTGTGCAGCCACGCAGGCGGTTGCAGTGGCCACACTGGCACTTCACAGCGGCGGCCGGGATTCTCGCAGCTGCTGGAAGCAATGCTGCTCGAAATGCTGCTCGCGTTGCAGCCTGAGCACTGCCTGGGGTTAGGAACTGTGGGGAACGTTAAGGGAAAGTTATTTACAAAGGCAAATTAAAAGATCTTTAAAGTAGCTGTCTTGTCTTGCAAGTAGCTGGCAGGTTTAAAGGTAAATGGATAAGGCCTTACTGGTGTTCTTAAATACAAACAGGGAGTAGGTTAAATCTGCAATACGCATGATCTAAAATTGGCCCTGAATTACTTCTTTTGTCTGATTTTCCTGATATCAAGGGTAGTCGAAAATCACTTTATTACTTAGGAACTTCAGTGAATTCTGAATTTAGGTTTCTGTTCAGTCTGTAAGAACCATTTTCAGGGTTAGTTGTAGAGCTTATTAGCAGACTCTGTCATGTCAGCCTTGTCCTCGTTTCCCCTTTCTGCCTTTCAGTATCTCGGCTGCTTCCTCCAAAAGCTTTGCAGACCCATCTGCCCCATGCATCTGAATGGGATGTTCTGCAGCTTCTATCTGGTCCCACATTCCCTCCTCTCCCCATAGAGGTGAATAAAATGGCTAGGCCAAACGTTTTGGGGTAGTTGTAAAGAGGAGGAGTAGGAGATTCATGGAATTAAGCACACAGGAGGAGTTTATGGAGTAGATATTTTCCACAACCTGTTTGTAACAGGATCAGATGAGGCTGCGAAGGCAAGAGCTGATGGTGCTTTTGCAAGCGCGGGCGTGTCCTGCAGAGCTGTAGGAGCACAAGCCCCCACGAATCTGCATTGTCCCCTAGGGATCTGCTTGTGGCCACTGGCCAAGACTGCTGGCATTGCTTGGAAGCGAAGGAAAAGCATTATGCTTTATCTTAGTGAGGGCATTCAAAAGCTATGGATCAGACACGAGACCCTGAGGCCTAAACTTGGTCGGTACGGAAAGATCTTTGGGTTACCTTGAAAATACAATAGCTGCACTTCTATCAGAAATCACTGGCGACGACTCAGATGACTTCAGGCTCTGTCTTGTAACAAAAGCTGTTGCATATCAAGGCAGTTTAGCTTAGGAAGAACAGTGAAGTGAAGGAGTTTAGAAAATTAGCTGTGTGATTGGGTTTGAGCTGCACAGGCATTTTCCACAGTCCTTGCTGAGTTGGATCTTAACCATGTAAAACCAGCGTTCCTCATGCACGTACAGATGCTGTACATTGAAAAGCATATACAATTTTTACCTTGCTAGACAACAGCATTTTGAAAGAGAACTAAAATTAATTATTCTTAACTACAAGTACTGTAGAGGCTGTAAAAAAAAAGCTGCTATATTGTAAAATGTGATTATCTCTAGCTGGTAAGACACAGTTAGAACACCACAGACAGGAGAGCTGAGAAAATACGTACATGTGTCTTTGAGGACACTTACATGACCGTTGCTGAATGGGGGTTTGCGTTGGTCTTGGTTCATTGATTGCTTGAAATGTTTGGATTGCCCTGTTGGAACAAAGCTGTTGCACTTCCCTCCTGCACAAGAGCTAAGTAGCCTCACTGCTCTCACTAGTTCCCTGCTTAGCTAAAAGTTCAGTTTATTTTTAATCTCATTAATTTATTTTTTGCACACTGTTTCACTGTAAGGTCCCGGTCCCCAAAGGTGTTGAGCTCCCCTTTTTGCCACATCAGATCCTAAGGATTAAACTAAAGCTCAATATTTACACGTTTAGTGGGGGGGAGAGCTTTTATTCTTCTGAATGTTTCTTTTGGGTTTTCAAGCAATTCTAAAGTAAGAATAATTGACGATGATCTCGTAGACGTGTTCTGTCTTTTTAGTTAGCCTCGTCTCCCAGCTGAATGAATTCATGCAATTTTCAATTTCGTATTAGGTCAGCGTTTGTTTGGGGAGACAATCCTAGGGCTAACACAAGGCTCTGTCTCAGACCTTCTGGCTCGCCCAAAGCCCTGGCACAAGCTGAGTTTGAAGGGACGGGAACCCTTTGTCCGCATGCAGCTGTGGCTGAACGATCCCAACAACGTGGAGAAGCTGATGGATATGAAACGAATGGAGAAAAAAGGTAACTTGGAGCAGACTGCTGACTCATGTTTTCCGTTATTTCAAAGATGACCCTGTCTTTTATAATTCTCCATAAATAGTATAGGGGCAGCATCGATCCAGTATTACGAAGGTTATGTAAAAGTACTTCATGACAGCTTTTTCTTAGCTTTATTTGATGCTAGCTCAAGCAGATACATCTCCAAAAAACCCCAAACCGCCCCCCCCCCCAAAAAAAAACTCACAAAAAACCCAACGCCAAATCCTGAATATTCACCAGCTGTCATGAAATCATTGCTATATTCTCCTATAGATTAATTACTGAGGCCCTGGTGTATCACTGATAACTTGCCTTACCAAATGAGAAATGTGAGTTTGGGAGCTGGCTTTGGGTTATTAGTTAATAGTGCTGCAGCTGGTCACAGATGTTGGGCTGGAAGAACTGCACATTGATTCCTGAGAGAGCGTCTTGCCAGTCCTGCACTGATGGTCGCTAGGAGGAAAGAAAAATGCAGTCTTTATAAAAAGGTATTTGAGAATAATTAAATTCGTAGCCTTTATAGGGATGGGGGAAGGTGATTGTGTTAATACATGCTCGCGTTAAACAGCTAGGTCATGAGTATGTACCTGTGAGAGATCTAAGTTGTTGTTGGATACCTTAGTAGGGAGTATATCCTGAGTATTTATCCTACTCTCTGTATTTTAAATTCATTACTAAAAACCAGTGGTTATTCAGAGGCCTGTTTTTAGTACGTTCGTGTGATTTTACAAGAGGCCGCTATTATCAGCAGTTAACTAATTAATGATATATACAAGTCTCGAGCTATCCCTTAATGATATTAGTACAGACAGCATTAATCGTGTGCACCGAAAGCGCTGCTGTTGACTGATGTCCTGAAAGCATTAACACATTTGATCAAGAACTTTGTGATTATATTAAAATTGCACTGAGGGAGCTTCTGGGAAAATTCTAGTCTTGCATGCTTTTAAGAAGAAATTCAAATCCTTGTCACAGTAACCAGTATAATATAATGCAGTGCAGTATCTTATCACAAATTGTGTATGATCTTCCATGAGGAGTAAAACCCACTTGGGTTTCCCACTTACAACTGTAAACCAAAGGGAGCCATGATGGTTTTTGCTGTATTAGAAATATGGCAGAAATAAAATTGTCAACTAGCTAGATTTTTATAGCCTCAAAGAGAATATCGCCCATAATGCAGGAAAATAAAATAAAAATAATTTAAAAGTAGTACTGACAATATCCTCTCAAAACTGTTTTCTAAACTGGATTCTTATCAAATACTGCGCAATACATATGCTCTATAGATGGCACCTGAATAGAGATAAGGCTATAAATCATTCGAGACTCTGTACTGAGCTCCTGAACTGTGTAAGTGCTGTCCTCAGAGCAGAGCACTCTAAAGTGAATTCAACCCTGTATTTTCTGCAAAATCCTTTCATGCAGGTAAGGATCCTGTGATTTAACCTTTTAAATTGCTCTAGGGCCACATTAAGAATTTAACTTTCCCTTCAGCTAATGTCAGTTAAAGAACAATGCAACTGTATCTGCTACCAGTGAAACATTATTATCAATTATTTCTCTGCCACATTTTATTAAGGGAGTAAATTAATAATTATGATAAAGGTGAGCTGCATATATCTTTTTTTCTGTTCTGCCGGTCTGAAGTTTGTGCTATAAATGTCCGTTTTAAGAGGTTCTGAAAATTTGCAGCGTACATTACCTAACCTCTTTGGAGGCAGCCGGGGGCTCACGCTCGCTAGGCTGAGACGCTCCACACCACCTTTCCTGCCTTGGAAGAGTTCATTCCCCTTTCTTATAACCTCCCGGTGCGTGAGCTGCTGGTAACGTCACACCCGTCACTGAGCAGTACTGAAGCCTGCCGTCAGGAGAAAATTTAATTCCCTTTATTTCCCCATTATTTCGCTTTTTAATAATCTTGTTCAATACCGCATAAGATAAAAATTATATTAAAAGGGGCTCTGTTTTACCTCAGTGGGCAGCCACTAGTGCTGCAGTAGCGTCTGCTGCATCTGTAGCTGAGCACATGCTGGGGCGTCTTCCCAGAGGGACACGGCGATGCTGGGCAGGCATCAGCAGGGAGGAAAAAAGGTAGTAAAACTCAGGGGATAGGGCTGGCCTTGACAAGTTGTTCTCAGATCCAGAACCAGACCTTTGCCCAAATTACATTTGGATTGGGATTTTTCATACATCTCCTGAGAAGTGGAGACCGATCCAGACAAAAATCAGACTTCTCTGAAAATCAAGTGTGTTTGTGACTTGGATTCCAGTTTGAGCCTTCCTGTCACTGCAAATGTGCTGAATGATCTCCTTATGTTGTCTACACGCAGCACATATGTTTAAAATACGAATGAAAAAGGAAAAGCGTTTCTAAACGTCATGTAAAGTTTCCAGAGAGCATCATTAAAGCTTAAAGCTTAGGTGCTAGTTCAGGACATGGCGAAATGCCAGGATTGTGCCTTTGGCCCAATGGAAATTTGTTCTGATAATACATTATCCTCCAGAAAAACAATTGGTTATGCCAGAACAGTGGGACTTCCTCTTTAATTTTATATTAAGGAAATACGTGCATTTATATAATTTGTTCCATTCATGTGAGAGAGACCCAAATAAGCTGTTGCAACTTTTGGGATCCCAGTGTGAGGTTACAAAAGCAGAGGTAGGCATAGGGCATGAAACTTTTTCGCAAGCTATCACAGCTCTGTGCTGTCCTTAGGAGTCTAAAGATGGGAGCCCTGACCTGCCAGAAATGCCATCCTTTGGAGAGCAGAGATTCAGAGCATCCTGATGCATGGGTGTCTCATGTTAACTCAGTCGCCTGACCAAATTCCCGAAACTCCAGTCGGAGATGGCCTAAACACCTTTTACATCTTCCATGTGAGGTTCTGTTTTGTCTCCTGGCCTCCTTTAAGCTGCTGCAGGTTGCTGAAGTGATGGGTGCTGTCTTTCAGCCCTCTTGGTTGTGCTATCAAAGGAGACGAGGGAACCTTGCATATAGTTGGCATGTCAATGAACGTTTGAAATAACACCTAGGAGTCTTTGAGATTAAAGACCTTATATAAATGTGAGATTATGTTGCTGAAATGATTAATTCTGTGGCTGAAGGTTGTAACAGTTCCTTGAAGGCTGTGAAAAATAAGGCCATAGGTCACCTTGAAATAATTCATTTACCTGCGGTCACTTTGCAGTTCTACACCCAGTTGGAACAACTCAAATAGGTGATTTTTTTAAATGAAGTTTATTAAAAAATAAAAATAAAAAAAACCTTTTGCTTTTTATGGTTATTTCAAAAGTGTGCAGGACTGCATCATGGCAGAGTGATGGATCATGAGCAACTCACGTTCTGTTCCATATCAGTGATCTTACACAGTAGGCAATCCACAGGTAATCTGTCATATTCAGGAAAAACAAAAGGAGGGCCATGCAGATACCCCTAAAGGTTACAGAGTGTGTTCAGAATTCACTTTGACGATAGTAAGGCACAGTGTAAAAAGGTGCCACTGGACATAGCACCGTGTAGAGGACGGGATGCTGAAACCCACTGGAGACAGAAAATGTAGCCAGTCCTGCAGGGAGCTCTGCCAGAAGAACTTGGCTTCTGTGAGAAGGGCTTTCAACATTTCAGTTTATTTGACTGCATTGAATTTTTATTCTTTGTGCACCCTCAGCCTAAAGGCAAAGCTTTTAGGGCGGGGAGAGAGAAATTTCTTTTTTTGCAGAATTTGGTTGCTGACCAGCGTGACATGTCCCACATTGGTCCCTGGCTCTGATGGGAGTTTCTGGCTGTGGGAGATTTAGTGCCTGCTAGATTGATGTCAGGCTGGTGTAATCTGGAACTTAATAGCTGAGGTTATCAAATTGCAGCTATTGAATACCTAAACTCTTAAATATCTAGAAGGTATTTAACAGGCCATTAAATATTTTCTTGACAAGATTCATCTATATTTGCCATTTTCAGCCCCCTCATTAGCAATGCTTGTGCATGATACTGCCAGGTGCAGTAAATCCCACCTCTCTCTGCCCGGTGTAAATCAATCAAGTCAGTGACAGCATTTGCTGGGAATCTTTCCTTGCAGAATATGCCAGGATAATTCAGTCTCCTTTGGGGAGGAGAGTTAGCAGTGGTATCACGGGATTCTGCCATCAGCCTCACTGAGCTCCATCCGTGCAGCAAGAGCTTTCTTAAAAGTATATGCATTTTTGAAAGAGCCTTGTGTAGAGGAGGAGGATGCTGTGGGCTGTTTTTCTTTCATAACCTGTCACCGCTGTAGCAGAGATCTGTAGGAAAAAGCAGCAAACGCCTGACGGGTTATTCAGCCCATTGCTGGGATCTGCGGGCTCCGGGCGCCATCCTGTGTTGGGAGATGTGGCTGTGGCTGCCTTCAGCTTCCACAAACATATTTTTAATTCGGAGACCTCAAGTGTTAGAGAGACCTTAGTGTACACCTTAAGGGTTTAACCACCAAAGCCATTTAAGTTGAAATGAAGTGCAACTGTCCTAATCAGGTGCTTAGTGGAAGTTCGCCACTCCTGAAAGAGAGAGTTTGAAATAAGTCGTGTTAACTGAACCCTGTTATTCATGTCCCATGTTCATTGAAAAAGCAGAAAGCTCTGGCAGGTTTCCAGGCAATTTACCCTCCTCTCTTTCCC